TTACAGGCACGTGTCGCTACATCCAACTCCTGGTGCAGTTTGAAGAGCAAATGGGAAACGAGGTCAGAATTATTACTCAGAAGATACAAAAACATGGACTTACTAAAAGTAGATGTTACAAAGAGACTCAAAACAGACCCCCACACCGGCACCCAAGAAAATACTTCTAACCAGATGCTCTCCTCAGCTACTTGGTCCAATTTGGAGCCCTGCCTCAGCTGTCCCCAGGGTAACCCGGAGGCTACCTTGAGTCCTGGCCCAATCTCCACAGGGTCAACAACTCCAGCAGCCCTGAGTCCCAGGTGTCTGCCAACACTGACTTCCTCCTGCATCATTTTGCCAAGGCCATGTTTGTTTACTATTTGTTTTACTATTTAATGTTTAATATTTGCTTTAAATTAACCTTTCTTCCCATCATACACATGTGTGTGTATCTATGTGGAGTATGTGTTCAGTATATGTGCGATGCATGTGAAATTTACGATACATATTACACATATCATATATGGGTCATTCCAGCAATAACAATGAGGCCATGCTTTTGATGTGCTATATTCCCAGGTTTGTTTTCTAAGGCACATTAAAATAAATACATAACTACAAAAAAGTTCCTTCACCAATTGAGTCATTGCCTTTAATGTTCTCTCTCTCCCTCTCTCTTCTCCTGCAGCACTGGGGATGATCCCGAGGCCTCGCAGGCATTGGGAATGTACTCTCCTCCACTGAGCCATTGTGGCCTTCACAGTGCTTGACTTTGAAGGCCATCTGCTGGGGTCTCATCCTGGGAGGTGACAAGCCTAACTCCAGGCCACACCAGCACAGAGGGAGAGCAGGAAGAGAAACCAGAACCTCCTGTCTCTTCATGGCCTGGGGCACTGACAGATGGGGACAGCTGGAATTAGGCCATGTGGAAGTTTTCCTATGGCACCCCACTTCCAAAGCCACCAGGTTACGTGGAGTGTTGTTTTCCTTTCCTTCTTGGGGTCACTAAGCTTATCTTTGTCCCAGATAATCAACAGTTGCTTTGGGACACACACACACACACACACATCCTGGCCATCACACTAATAGAGAATCCCAAAACAGCTCACAGATGTCATGATCTGGAGGCCACCAGTCTGAAAAAGCGCAGTGTTTACAGTATCTACAGAGCTCTGGCTCGCACCATAAGCGCAAACATTCACTGAGCAGCCAAAGTGGCCCAGGCACTGAGCTAGCCAGGGATGGAGGACCTGGAGGCAGCAGGGCAGATTAGACCTTGCTCTCCATGGAGCCCTCAGCCAGGCCCCGCCGGCCACCCTGCCCTGTGGACAATCACACTCTCTCCCTCCAGCAACCTCGTCTACCGCTCTGTTCTGCTTTGTCTGGATGGTACCGGATACCATCTCGTTGTTCTAGATTTTGCTTTCCTGTTTGTTTATGGCTTCCTTCTCCACAGACAACAGGGGTGTCTGTTTTTGAGGGCTGCCCTACCTTCAACACTTGTAAGGATCTCTGATACCGAGAGGGCCCTCCGTGTGCAGCTGTTGAAGGGACGGACATTGAGCAGATGACATCACACCTAGGAGTCACATGTGCGTACACACAGACCTGTAGTTGTCTAAATATTCCACTGTAAACATAGGTGCTCTGGAGAATTACAGGTACTTGGGGATGGCACATGCTGGGTAGTTGGAGAAAACTTCCCTGAGGAAGTCGTGTTTAAAGTGAATCCTAAAGTGGATGCTAGATGTGGTGGGGGAAGATGGTCAAGAGGGAAGGAGCAGCTTCGCACTCCGCGGAGATGCAGTGTGTACTGAGGTCCTGGGCAGGAAGGATGGTCGTCATCTGGAGCGGAAGTGAAAGAGGTCACAGTGATAGGTGATAGGGGTGCAGCAACGAAATGGCTCCTAGATGGCTTTGGGGCCTAACCACATGGATCTTACTCTAAAGGCCACAAGGAACCCAGCGAGGATTTAAGCAAAGAGGTGATCATCAGATTTACAGTTCGCAAAGATCACTTCCCTGCGCAGTAGAGAAGGGCCAGGAGTCGTTTACCGGACGACCAAGCAGGAGGCTTCTCTACTTTCCAAGTGGGAGGTGTGTCAGTCTGGATGAGGCTGGGCAGCAAGTTGAGACCCAGGTGGACAGGCTGGGGTCAAAGGCCATAGGCCCTGCTCATGTGCCTCTGGCTGTGCTTGGGGGCAGAGGCCATCCGCCTTTCCTCGGAAAGGGCCAAACAGTAAGTATTTGCAGTTTCACAGGCATGCAGAAAGAGCCAGCGAAGTAGGCTGATGTCCTGTGTGAAGGGCTAGCCTAGACCTTGGCTGGGGACTGGGAATATAATTTCCAAGATGCTTTCCAAGTCGCTGAGTGGCACAGCTGTCCTGCGTGCCCAGGACACCAAATTCCACACAGACTGAGGCCCAGGCCCTTTCCACCAGAGGTGCAATTCATGAGTGCACCAGCCTCCCCACAGCTGTGATGGATCACAATGCAGATGTGCTCTCTGTGTGCCCAACAAACACTCCTTCAGCACCTGGGTGCGAGTGCTGGGGAGATGTGGCTGGGCAGAGAACCTGCACTCTAGCGGTCAGTCACGCCTTCCCTGGGGGAGGAGAGGACACGGGATGCCTACAGACTCTGCCCAAAGTTCCTTCCTCCTGCTGAAGACAGAAGAGATTACACCAGGAGCAGCACTGCTTCTGAGCCATATAGTCCTTCTGGCATCGCTGGAGTGTGGGTGGTCTTGGGACCCTGTCACGGGGGTCTATCAAGGACTCAACTCTGCCTGTGTAGTGCTGAGACAGCACCGGTTATACGTAAACATCCCCAAGGCCGTGTTTCACTGCAACTCAATTTATAACAATGGCAGAGAGCCTGGCTTTTGACCATAGGCAGAGCCAAGAACTCATGCTCAAACAGAACCAAGGGCCCTTGGAATCCACTTTGAGAAGCATGGGCTGAGCTCAACACTTTCAAGTCATGAGTGGACCAGAAGGAGAAAGAGAACGAATTTGTCCAAGGTCAAGATCAGCAGCAGAAGCAGGACCTCTGTCCTAGCTCCCAGCCCCGTGTGCTCTCTGCCACAGCCCTGCAGATGGGCAGTGGCCTGGGCCTTTTTCAATCACCAGTCACCTCTGAAGTTTCTTAATAACAGATGCCGGGGGCTGGGGAGGTAGCTCAGCGGTACAGAGTCTGCCTACCATATGCAATGCCCTGAGTGCCATCCTCAGTGCCAGAGAAAGAAAAAAAGATGCCAATGTTCTGTGTCAGAGTCACAGAAACAGCATATCCAGGCTGGGGCCTGGAATCTGCATTTTAACTAGTTCCTGGGTACTCAGATGATCCACCAGGTTTGGAAACTCTAGGGGAATCTTAGGATTTCCTGACCAGTGACCGTAAGAACCAAGGAAAAGAAGTTCACAAGCAGAGGAGAAAAGAGAAATCTGTCCCGGATCAAGGAACAAGTGCAGGCCTGAGGGAAATACACAAGCAGGGCTTTGGGGAACGTTTTCCAAAGATGATGCCTCACACGAGCTTTGGCTGCTGCAGGTTGGAACAGCCAACAGTCAGGAGCTCATTTCCTTCTTCCCAGGGATCCTGCCCAAGATTCGGGATGTGGTACAGGTATCCACAGTGCCCTGAGCTATGAGGCACAGCTGAGGTGAGCCGTTTCCACCCCACTGCCCCTCAGCCTCACCCTAGCGAGGTGCAGGCGAGCCACGCTATCGATCTCGCACCCTACAAGCATTTCCACTCAGGCTTCCAATGCCAGGGGCCAAAAGCCAGAGGCATCCGATTTCTTGCAAGCTCCCCATTCTAAAAGAAATCACAGGGAGATTCTGTGGGATTTGTCACTTTTCATAGAAAAGTGGATGCTTCCTCGTGCACTTCAGCATCTCTGAGTGTCTTATTCTCCTCACTGGAATCACCTGAGGCCCCTCAGTGACACTGACACCCAGGACCCAGCCCCCAGAAGGGTTCATATGAACTGGCCTGGGTCGTGCTCTGGGGTTGGGATTATTCCAAAGCCCCCCAGACGGACACTTCTGACAGTGAAGGGTGAGGACCCAGGGCCAGAGCCCTGCTTTCACTGGGCACATCACCATGTGCCAACCCAGAGAAAGCTGGGCGCAAACACCGCTCACAATGAAGGACCCAAGTGCCCAGCCATAGACAACCAACAGGCGAGTCGGTCTCTCCAGCCCTGTGTCCTCTGAGAACCAGGCATCACCAAGCTCCTCTCGCCGACAAACCCTTCTGAGGTCTGGGGTGCTGGTGAGGAATAAAGTGTTTGTAATTCTGACTCTTGGCTGAAGTGCAGTATTTGCTCTAGGGATGAACTCAAGGGTAGGCAACAAACAGCAGCACCGTTAGCAATGGAAATCCCAGACCCCTTCCTAGCACTGCACAGCTGCCTCAGAATAGCATTTATGTTCAGCAGTGCTTTGAAATCACAGTACAGACAGAGGATCCCTAATCCAAAACTTCAAAATGCTTCCAAAGCAAAAACTTCTCAGTGCTGACTGCCACTGCAAGTGGGAAATTCCACACCATGCAGCTTTACTTCATGCATAAAACTATTAAAATCATTCTATAAGATGACCCACAGGCCATGTATGTAAGGTGTTTAGGAAACATAAATTGCATGTTTAGATGGTCCCCAGCACATCTCATTATGTGTGTATAGAATATTTTGAAACCTGAAAAATAATCCCAAATTCAAAACTTGGGAGTTATCAGACCTGTGGCTGGATCTTGCTATTTAAGAGCCTGATAAAAGAAGCACATGTGTTACCGTATTATAAATTTGCCTTTATAACTGTTTCTCTAATTGTGTTCGAATATATTTGATTTCATATGCATTTAATTGATGCATTTGAAATTACTGTCCCAAGAAGAAGCCCCCAGGCTTCTGACTTTAACCGGCAGTTGAGTCTCAGAGGCTGGTGGCCAGCTTTGCAGAGTGGTCCCTCATGGAGGTGGGAGACACGGCTCACTGAGCGAGCAGCCCTTACCTGCGGGTCAGACAGCCGGGAGATGTCAGGGTACAGGTAGAACTTGATGCCTTCGGTGGCCCCCGGCAATGTGATCCCCCGGATGAGAAGGATGAGAAGCATGACGTAGGGGAAGGTGGCAGTGACGTACACAACCTGGAGAGAAGAGGACAGGATCAAGAGAGGTGCCAGTGACAGGCTCACCTCGCGGAGCGTGGTGCCCTCCAGTCCATTTGCACTGCTGCCTCGCAGGTCGTCCTTCTGGAAGGCTGAGCAGCCCCTCGCTGTCTGGCTGCACAGCACCACCCTAATCCACGTATCTGTGTCCCAGCCCCAGAGAGAGACGTACAGTCATCCCCCAGCATCCAGGCGACACACAAGTGCCTCGCACAGAACGACCTAGGACTTGCACAGCACCCACTCATATCCTCCTACTTTAAGTCAACTCCAGACGACGTGGACATCTAACGCCATGTGCACACCCCTGTGTACACGGTCATCGTGCCACACTGCTCAGGGAATGGGACGGAGAGAGAAGGCCACGTGTTCAGAACAGAGGCAAATCTCTTTGGAAAGATTTTTCTTGCCAGGATTGGTTGAATCCACCGATGCTGCTATGGTTTCTACACCTCCCCTCACCCTCACAGACTCATGGTGGGGCCTTGGGTCGGTGATCAGACGGTGGGCGTGGTAATCGTCGGTGAATTGGTCCACTGCAGAGGGACAGCTCAATGTGACGTTGGGAGGTGAACCCTGGAGGGAGAGGCCCGGAAGCGTTCATCTCTTCCTTCCTCCCTTAGTCTCTCCCTCTCTGCTCGACACCTGTTTTTCCTCCACCACACCCCTGTGCCATGCTGCCCTGCCTTAGACCCAGCCGAGTATGGACTGAAACCTCTACAGACTGTGAGCCTCCATCAACCTCTCCTCAGAGTCACGGTGCTGGGTACTGTGTCTCAGCAAGGACAAAATAACTAAGACGAAAGCTGAGGCCGTGGATAAAGAGGGCCACCTCCACTGCATGACCCCACTTACATAAGGTACCTAACGGAGTGGATTCGCAGAGTCAAAGTGTGGCGTGGGGTCTGAGGGGAGGGAGGAAGAGGCGGTCGCTCATCAGCAGGCACAAAGTGAGCTCCGGAGAGCAGCTGTGTCCTCCTGTACCCGGGGTCCAAGGGGTGCAGTGCGTGCTTAAAGACACGCTAAGGGGTGGAGCTCATGTCAAGGTTCTCACCGGACCACAATAGACCAGAATTTAAGAAGAAAAGAAGGCCAGCAGCGGGGAGCCCACAAGGAGTAAAGGGCAGGACGAAGACAGGACCTCAACACCTGCTCCCCGTCTCATCTACCACCTGGGCTGGGGTGGAGCTGGCAGGGGGCATCTACAAGAGTTTCTCCCAGCTGTACCACATGACTGTTAAACATTCAGGACCACGGTCATAGAAAGAGACATCTGTCACAACCCAGTACACGGACAGCTGGAAAGGAAGTTTCACAAAATCACAGACACGTGTACTATAGGATATCACCTCTGCTGTTTCATTTGGTAACAAGCTATTCACGATCCTCTAAATCCATTTCACAACCTGTCAGTGGGACAAGACCCACATTTCTGAAAAATACTGCTCTTAATAAAAGTCAAGGTCTTATAACCAAAGATAGGGTAGGGGAGGAGAAGGGAGGAGAAAGAAAGGAAGAACACGGGAAGGTAGGGGTGGGGAGAAAACTGGCATTTGTCTGAAATCTTTTCAGCTTGGTGATTGGACTCTAGGAGACTGGAGACCCTCTCAGCTGGTGGCACTGGTATAAGAACTGAGACCCTGAGAAACACTGCTCTGTGCTTAGGGGGATCCCTCCACCCCCATCCCATCCAAGGTCCTGCCAGGGGCTGGCTGCTGTGTCTCTTTTTTTTTACATCCTCCTCTCCTCGGATCACGCGGCTCTGTCCCTGGGCAGAGCCTGCATGCTCCATCTGCTTAGACCATCAACCATCAACATGCAGGGCCAGGGACCCTCCCAAGATTTGGAGGGGGCTCCAGATCTCCCCCAAGATGCACAGGGATGTGGAGATGTGTGCCGGCTTTCTGAGTGCCCCGACCCAGGTTCCTGGAGCGAACACCCCTGTGCGGAGACCCGGCCCTCTAGTTCCCTCAGCACTTCTCTGGCTCAGTCCTCTCCACGCATGCACCCAGCCTCTCATCCACTGACCACACACTTGCCCCAACACCGGAGACTCCTGTGTGCGGAAGCCTGAGCTACATCCTGGAATATACAAGGATGGACGAACCACAGCATGGGAATTTCTGTCCCAAGAGGCTTCCAGCCGGTAGAAAGGACAGATGTGTAGACAGGCAGACACCACACTGTGTAACTGGAGGTGGGAAAGGGTGCTGGAGCACAGACAGGAAGCCGTCTAAAAGGGCTACCCCAAGGTATGGATATCGGCCCATAAAGGATGGCCAGGAGTTCATGGCCTGCAAAATAGAGACAGAAGGAAGAGGGAACAGAGTTCCTGCTACATGCCAGGCCCACACCGTGCACGCGTGAAAATAACCATAGCTACGCTCATCAGCACTTCACCACTCTGACAAGGCACAATTGCCTTCTTCTTACATGAGAAAAGTCAGAGAGCTCACCAGCCACTTGTCCAAGGTCACCCAGCTACTCAGGAGTATGCATCCTCAGACAGCCATGCAAATGCTGTGTTTTTGTCTCCATTTCTGGGATATGACGCAGAGAAGTCAGTCATTCCACTAGTATGTGTTGTGGTTTAGATCTCATATGTCCTGCCAGACCCGCATGTGCATGGAAGGGGAGTGGATTTCGGGGTGCTGCACTCAGTGGATTCATCTGTGGATGACCTCCGTAGCTGATGCGCTGTTAAGAGGTGCAGCCCGGTTGGAGGTGGAACACTGGGGAGGTGAACTGGAAGGGTGTATCCTTGTTCATTGCTTGGCTTCTCCCTTCTCTCTCTGCCTCCTGGCCACCATGAACTGAGCAGCTCTGCTCCGCCAGGCCCTTCCACCATGAACTGAGCAGCTCTGCTCCGCCAGGCCCTTCCACCATGAACTGAGCAGCTCTGCTCCGCCAGGCCCTTCCACCATGCCCCTTTCTGCCTTGGTGCCAGCTGACCATGGACTGAAACCATGCGCCAAAATAAACCTTTCCTTTTAAGTTGTGGGTGTTGGGTATTGTGTCCCAATGTTGGGAAAGTGACTAAGACAAGACATGACAAAGCAGATATTTAAATCCAGATCTCAAAAAAATAGGACATTAGAATCAGCAGAGGAAGGTGGCAATGGGCCTTATGGGCACAAACTGTAAAGTTGCATTATTTTTATCCAGACTCTATCTCTATTATCTACAATCACGGTATCATCCCAGCCTGCTGAGTCCCCAACCTGCCAATTCTACATCTTGTTTCCAAATCCACCATCAGCTCAATCTCTGCCTTACATAATCAATTCACTCTCTTGCTGTCATATGTAATGTCATGTGTAATCCAGAAAAGGTGCACATAAGTCCAGCATATAAAAGAGGACAGCAGTTTATATTAATAATAAAGAGTAAGAGGCCAAAGCCAGGTATACTGGGGCATGTCTGTAGCTGCAGCACCTGGGAAGCTGAGGTGGGAAGATTGTTACCAGCTTGAGGCCAGCCTGGGCTAAACACTGAGTTCAAGGCCGGCCTGAACTACACAGCGAGACTCTGTCTCATAAACAAAAGAAAGAAAAAAAAATGTAAGAGGCCAGCAATCAATCAGGATGAATGGTTCCTGCCCAGTGAGCCAACGTGCTGTAAAATCTCCAGTTGGACTTGGCTTCTTCAGCAACATCTAGGGGAGATGGTCAGGATTTCATACAAATTATTGATTCTTTCCCTCCAAAATGAATCTCCCCCACTTAGCTCGCTTAAGGCCATTAAAAGTCTCATCCGGGCTAAAGATCGGATGGTTCCACTGAATAATTTCCCCCATCTCCCTTGTGTGACAGATTAATTGTCTACAATGGCAGGAGCTGCCCGTTTTAGATTCATGATGTTTCTCCAGCTTAGCTCTCTTAGCTTATCAAACTTACATAATTTAGGGAAAAGAACACTGTCATGTGAAACCTATGAGCCACTCAAAATCATAGAAATGAGTCCTTTACCTGGGAGACCCCTTTGGTACAGTGGAATGTGCCAGTCATGCTCTCCCTGTTCTTTACTGAGTGTCCTGAGGGCATCACTTAAAACCTGGTCCAATTTACCCTCCCTGAGCCCAGCTAACATACACAGAACACTGCCCCTCAGTCCCCACAGTGGGATGGATTTACTAAATATCTCATGATTATTTTGAAGCATTTCATTGTTTAGAGCTCTGGATCAACACTCTGCTTCTGTGCTGCATTTAGAAGAACCACACTGCCTCCCCTGGTGCTGTCTTTCATTTTTATATTCCTTTTATAAAACAATCAAAGAAATAAAATAGTCAAATGAATTGCCCAAAGACCACAGCCCAGACGAGCTAAAAGGAAACCACAGGCTGGCATGCATTTCCCTAGAAAAATTAATTGCACACTCATATTTGAGAGCTTTGAGTCAGGGTATATAAAGCAGGATGAGGGGATAGCACAAGAGGTGAGTGGTGAAAGACTGCAAAATATAATGTGAGGACAGCCCATATTTCTTAAAGCTTCTCTTAATTTACTTCTATCATTGCCATACCAGACACGTGGACATTATCTTTGACTTTTCCTGAAAATGGCTGTGGGCTATCAAAACCACACAGAACTTGTCTCATCAAGAGACTGCCCATAAATGACATGCATGCTGCTGTCCATCCCTCCTGTGCTCTTGCCAGACACGACTAATTGATCACAGCACTCTTTGCACCTAAGCCTGGATGCAGTTTCAGAGTCTCCCCTCCCACCTCCTGCACTGGAGGCAGCCCAGTCACCAACTGAGATGAAATCCACCATGTGTGACCCTCCATCCATCCCATGTTTCATATACACATTTCAGAGTTTCCTACAGGCTGAGAAGATGGTAAGAAGACCTTGGTCTTGTCCTCAAGGAAAGACCTATCAAATGCATGTCTGCAGGAGGCCCAAATATCATGACCCACATAAGCAGGGTCAAGCAGGGAAAGGAGGCTGCAGAGACAGGCAGGAAACACGCTT